GAACAGCTAGCCCAGCACCTGGCACAGTGAATGTGTGTACACCTTAGCTTCATGAGCCTGTGGTTATCATGAGGTCACACTGACAATAAGAACGCAGTCTTCCTAGTACATGCCAAATCTGCGTTGTGCAAGAGCTGCAGATCCATTTCAGAGATATATATGGTTAATTCTAGAAGGTCCAGGAGATGCCCCTGTGATTGCATTTGACATTCATATAATTTCCCTCAGGGATTCCTCCATTAAATCTGCTACTTAGAGTCTCTCAAGGGCCAGACCTCACCATAGCCTCTACTGCAGATTCCACCATGATCATACTGGTATCAGTGTTTCTAAAATAACATGCTGTTGTGGGCTAAAGTCCGCATCGCATTCCTGGTGTCTGCTCAACAGAAGAAAGCTAATCACCATGTTTCACTGGACCTCATCTTCACAAAGCAACTCCTACAGTGTGTAGGGGGATCAACTACACTCGTTTCTCAGGACTGTCCTGGTGTTAGTTTTGAAAATCCCACACACTTGAGAACGCTCTGTCCCAGGCAACCAGTTATTCTACCTAAATTCAGGCACCAGACCTACAAAGCCCTCAAGGGAACAGATGTCATTCTCTCTCCTCTAACTCCCACCGCATCCCAAGAAACAAACATAAGACTGAATCAGCTTCCTAGTACTGCCTAACAGATTTCCATGAGGTCAGTGGTTTAAAACAACACCCATTCATTATCTCATGGTTTTTGTAGACCAGAAGTCTGAATGTATCTCAGATAAGATCTCTGCTCGGGGTCTTCTGTGGTAGAAACCAAGGTATCAACTAGCCTGAGTTTTCATCTGAAGGCTAGGGGGGAACATCCACTCGTGAGCTCACTGAGGATGGTTCACCAAATTCAGTTCTCTGTGGTTGTAGGACTGAGGCCTTCATTATCTCTCTGTGTCAGTTGGGGCCACTCTTAGCTCCTAGAAGCTACTTATATTCCTTGTCATGTGGTCCCCTCCAGCTTCATAGCCACCAACAGGGAATCTCCCCTGCATCAAATACCTCTCACACTTCCAACCTCTTCAAGGACAGAAGTGAGCACTTGTCCCTTTCAAGTGCTCATCTGAGTAGGTTGAGTCCACTAAGGATAATTTCCTTTTCTTAAAGTCACCTGTGCCAAATAACATAACTTTAATCATCATCATATTTGATTGTTTCAGCCACTCTCAAGAAGGGGAGATTATACAAAGGTGAGGGTCAACACAGATCACCTCAGAACTCTGCCTACCACACCGCCTTTCCCAAAGTGTTACCAAAGGTCACAAAAGATGCCTAGATAAGGCATTCTTAACAAAAGTTAGAGCCTGATAAGTCCTAGGCTCTAACTTCACCAGACAGATCCACATGGTCTCATCCGAGGTTCTTTAGTATCAACTAATGTCTTTGATACATTCATGTGTCCTTTCTCAAGGAATGAATCTTCATTTAAGGTCTATTATGAGTTTAGCACTATGTCAAGTGCTAGAGATCATGATGAACAAAAAACATGATCCCTACCCTTGTCTGGTGGGGCAAAATGAATCTGATAATCATAAAATGTAATTGTGCCTTGGACCACTGTAAAGGATGTGAGATCCTATAAAGGGAGAACTTGACCTCATCCAGGGCACAGACTACTTACTATCCACCAAAATCCATTCTCATATTCTGTGCAACTGCACAGCATTTCCCAGATTTTTGCACCCTTTAGGGTGGCCATGCGACAAAGTTCTCTCCAACAAGTACAAGTCAATCAGTTACCATTTCTAGGCCTGGACCGTTAAACTCATCACTCCCATGAGTGATAATGGCATGGCCAAGAGCAACTACGAATCGAGCATTGAGAGTGACAGCCTCGGTCAGCCTAAGTTCCTGAATGATTACGTGGAAATAATCCACTTTCACCCCCAGACCCCCACCACCGTCACCAGCAAAACCAGCCCAGACTATTACAGGGGGAGGAAAGAAATCTCTCTCTTGTTTGAACTATTTCTTTTAGGTCTATTGACTCAGCTATTTAGCCTTCCTCAAGTAATACAGAACTGCATGCCGGCAGGCAAAACAAAACACAACATTCTCTTATCATACATTTATGTAATATGTCTCTTAAAGGCTTTCACATCTAGTAGGAGATTTAATTCTCTCAAAAACCCTATGAGACAAGTAATAGGGCATCTATTATTACACCCACCTGCCAGATGAGGCTCAAAAGAATTCAGTGACTCAGGAAGGTTCCCGTAGGTCATTAGTCATTTCTGGTATCTGTGACTGACTCATCATTTCAATTTGGACAAGTCATCCCTTTCTCTTTTTTTTCATTTATAGGATCATTCCTGTCTTTCCACCTAAGGGGAAGAAATACTATTGGGCTTCTCTATGAAATATTCTGATGGAAAGACAACACAAATGTGATACTTGGTTCTATAAGTTATGTATGCAGGAGAGATATAATTTGGCAATGCCCTCCTAATTATTTACTCTTCAGTACCTTGGATCCATTGGAACCAGATCAATATGCCAAACTATAGGCTACTAAGCATAAACTACTATTAGTCTTAGATCTCAAATCTTAACATCTGAGATAATCTCATCTTTGGTCATTCTTGGTGGGCTCCTTTTGACTTCATGTACTCATCTGCATATGTCCTGTTTGCATCTTTTCAAAAATCATTCATTCATGCATGTGTGCACCCAAATTTTACTGTGTAAAAATCACCATGTTAAGCAATAGGTATCCAAGAGAAAACAATACAGGCACGGTGCTGGCCCTCAGTAAGATTACAGTCTAATCAGAGAAACCAGTATATAGGCAATTTTATATCAGTGTAAATAGTTATCAGGGCAAAGAAGAAACTGAGCAATGAAGACAATGAGAATTGAAACACTCTTTTTACCTCTTCTGGCCTCTAGTTGCATAAACAATGTGGCCTACTTGGGCCAGCAAGGGTTAGGATTATTCAAAAATGTATTATTTCCAAGTTGCCAAGATAGCTATTTTCAGCTTTTGGATGCTGGGGTAGTTTCGCTTTGCTTCTAGGAAATTTGGGGTACATTTGGTACTTAGCTTTAGTACATGGCTGAACTAAGATCTCTAATTCAGGTATCTTTCTAGTCCTTCTAAACTGTTTCTGCTTTGCTTCCTTTTTCTGGTGGAAAAAGATAGAAGGAAGGAGGGAGAGAGAGAGAAAGGGAAAGAGAAAGCAAAGAGGGAAAGAGGGAACATTGTTATAAATGAGAGCTTTGACATTTTGCTTTGTTAAAGATTTATTTATTTGAGAGGAAGAGAAAGAGAGAGCATGTGCATGGGTGCTTGTACACATGCATGAGAGTAGGGGGAGGGGCAGAGGGAAAGGATCTTCAGGCAGACTCCCTGCTGAGCACAGAGGGCTCCCTCTCACGACCCATGAGTGCAGAGGGCTCAGTCTCATGCCTTGAGCTGAAATCAAGAGTCAGATACGTAACCAACTGAGCCACCCAACATTCCAATCATTTGTCCTCACACCCTGACCCGGTAACCGGATGTGCTGTGGGCACTGAATCAACCTGGGAGGCATTTCTGTTCAAGGTCAATGATGCCCCAGAACCATCATTTAGTTTGAGAAAACTATGTCCTTGCCCTGAAAGCCAAAGCAGAAATAAGTGACCCTGTCACCATAGTTCTGCTCCCACTAAGCCTGTTCTATGTACCCAAACAAGTTGGCAGAAGAGCTTCGATCTGAGGCCCAGGGTGAGGAGAGAAACTATATTTGGAAAGGAAAGAAGAACATTTACTGAGTGCTTATTGTATATTTATTATCTGTTATAAGTGCCTCATGACAATTCTCTCATTAAATCCTCACAACTTTATCATGCCATAGTCTTCACCGAGAGTCCCTCCTGCTTGCACCACCTGGCCCAGGGAGGTTAGGGTCTACCATCATGCTCTCCCTGGATCTCTAAATCCAAAAAACAGAGGCAAGCCCCTTGTATACCTAGCCTGGACATTTTTCATGCACCAATCCACACTTAACTAATGAAAAGCTTACCAGAAATTGGATTAGCATGTTAGGCAGATCATAGGCTCAGAAGCATATGGCAATGAGAGTAAAACCATAGGCCTACATGTTTTAATCCCGGTCTTTGTTTCAATCCCCTGCTCATGCCTTTCCCCCTTTCTTCAAGCTTGGGAGACACAGCGCTGATGTTCTTGGCTCCCTACATGTCAACAAGGCACGCCACCGTGGAGCTGAAACCTTGGGGGAACTCAGACCCAAAACATTTGAGAATAGAGCATATGGCTTCCTCGAAGCAGAATGGCACAGTGACATGTGTCTTTACAAACTTAACAGGCTGTAATCTGCTGCAGCTGCTACGGAAAGGCCTGTCTATCTTGGCATTGGACATCCTCTGTTCATAAATTAGCTTTTCAGCTGGGCTTAGGTATGGAAACCAGACAGCTCCTAAAGTGAAAGAGGTTTCTGGAACAGAACTAAAAAGCATATTGAGATGCCTGGCTGAGGATTCATAATTTTTAGGTCTCTTGTTGATCAGTAGAATAGTCATTTCTTTATCAGTCACGGAAGCAGCAGCACAACCATGGAGAAGCATCACAACTTTGCCTACACAGTTATTAGGAAAAATGTCATTCCTTGGCTGCAGAGAAATCTCCAGATACATAGCTAGGGAAGGTTAGGTCCGTAGCATTGTTAGATGCTCTTCTCGATCGACCACCACCAGCTGCCTCACTTCTCACCACAGTCTATTCTAGATGTTTCCAGGTAGCGATGATGCATCACAGCATTTTCACTCTGTTCAACCCCCTCCTGACAGGTGAGTCCTCGCTAGCATGGAAGGTCAGTGACAGCAGAAATCACATTGATCCTGTTGACTATTGTATTCCCACCACTTCGCACAGAACTAGATACATAACAGGCATTTAGTGAGTATTTGTTGAATGGAAAATAAATTCCTTTACTCTTAGGTCAGGTTTCTTCTCTCCCTTTGCACTCACTTTCTCCAGCTGTGGCACATGCTTCCTGGCCTCAGATTTTATTGTACCCAGATGGTTCTTCACAACATGAATTCTCTCAGAATCCGTATTTGCTGCAACCATGTGTTATCTGCAAAAGAAGTACACTACTATTAATGTACCTGCGGTCAAAAAGTGGGGTTGTTCATTGCAGCCCGAGGTGGAAGGAAGATGCCTCTTTCCTTGAGACCATAGGGAGACAGCAGTATTTTAGAATCAGATGACATTTTAAGTGTTTACTATTCCAAAGGGTCTTTCCTCTGCCTAGGTCAGGCTGCTAATCTCTTTCTTCAGATGACTTTTTCTAAGTTTTTCTTTTAAAGATTAATTGATTGATTGATTGATTGATTGACTGATTTGAGAGAGAGAGAGAGCATTGTAGGGAGGGGCAGAGGGAGAGAGAAACTCAGGCAGACTCCCCACTGAGTGCAGGGCCTGACACAAGGCTTGACCTCATGACCCTGAGAACAACCTGAGCTGAAACCAGGAGTCCGACGCTTAGCTGACTGCACCACCCAGGCACCCATAAGGCTTCTTTTATTACCATGAAAGTAGCTACTGCTCATTGTTAGGATGGGGAAAAGAAGAAGGTACAAAAAGTAAAAACAAGATGAATAGAAAACCTCCCCTGGTATCTGTGTCCACACGCTTCCATCTAACTCCCCACATTAGTTCTCCTTTCACTGTAGTTTTTTAATGTAGTATCTACCCCTTGAATGTTGTGGCATTTTTCCTGGGATTCTATCACCTTTTCCCCTCTTCTCTCACATACTGTTCCTGGCTCATCTATGTACTATCAAGGCTTCGGGTACCCTACATGTTATTCAAATGCCCTTAGAATTGGGCTGAATTAAAAAAAAAAAGAATTGGGTTGAATTGAATTGAATTGCTACTCTGTCCTCCTTCCCTTCAAGGCCTGGCCAACAGAGCATGAACACAAACAACACTAGCCAAATAAAACATGCTGTTTATTAATGGCATTAGCAGAGCAGAGCTCTAGCAAAAGCTGGAATGGGAAACACAGCTCAGGCTCAAGGGACCCACTTGCTTCCCAGCCTTGAGCCCCGAGACTCAGCTATGCCAGGAATAAGTAAGCAATAAAGACCGGCACTGCAGAGGCAACCCCAAATCCACTTACAGATCTACCCATGTGGACAAGAATTAGAGGCCTGCCTCACCAGCCCCAACACAGAGGAACAGAGAGGCAGACACAGACAGAGCAAGTTCAACTCCTGATATGGCTTTGCAGTTGCCACTTGGCAGGCCGGTCTGGCCCATGGAAGCAGACAGAGCAACAAAAAGGAATAGCTATTCTTCATACAAGGGGCAAGTCCTTGACTCTCTAACCTGCCAGCAGCACGGATCCAGAGAGTAGGAAAAGAGGAAGGCATGCCATTAATAACACCATGAATACAGTGGCTCTGCCCTCAGAAAAATATAGCCCATTAACTTCAGGTTCTGAGCTACTGATGAACCTTTTCTCTCCCTTAGCAGGGAGTAATGAGGGATGTGAGATGAGACAAAGCACGCTTCCTGGCACTCCCCCAATTAGTCCAATTATCTATGGGCTAAAGCTACTGTGAACAGCCAATACTGCTCCCCAGTACTGCCTGGCACATAGTAGATACTCCAGAGATATTTGTTGACTAAATTAATCAAGAAATGACTCCCAAATCTGTATGTTGTATGTCCAGTCCAGACCCCTGTCATGAACTCCAGTCCACCTTCCCCAAGCCTTCCTTCTTCTATCTCATCTAGTAAATGGAACCACTACCAATACAATCATTCATGTCATTATCTTTCAGCTCTCTCCACCAAGGATGGATCACCCCCAAGAGAAATTAACTTATTACCCAGTAGTCAGAGCCTCCCTCACTCTCCCTTTTATGTTTTTAGCAAGATGGCAAGCAAAAAAATTTTGCTTATTCAAAGAAATTTATCTAGACTTTTGATGTCTAGGAAACATTCCTTGAAGACAACAAAGATTGGATTCACATCCTCTTGCCTTCACTGTATTCCCTTACTTGATGGATAAGTATCCTGCAAACTTCCCTTTTCATACCTTATGAATTATATTTTAGGTCATTAATTCAAATATATAAAATTATCTTGATATTTTTAACCCCAACCCCAAATGAAAACAAAAACAAGGAACTTCCTTGGATACTGTATCTTACACACACATTTCTTAAGCAAATTAAAATTATTCTGCAACTCTTATTATAGTGGTTAAAACTATCTCCCATTGTCTTATTATTCTACCTAATTTTTTTTCTTGGCTTTAAAATTTTGGAAACCATCTTCAACTCTTGAATTACCAGTCAAGAAAAAGGACTATTGGGCAGCCCGGGTGGCTCAGTGGTTTAGCGCCACCTTCAGCCCAGGGCCTGATCCTGGAGACCCAGGATCGAGTCCCGCGTCCAGCTCCCTGCATGGAGCCTGCTTCTCCCTCTGCCTGTGTCTCTGCCTCTCTCTCTCCTCTCTGTGTATTCTCATGAATAAATAAATAAAATCTTTAAAAAAGAAAAAGGACTATTTTCTCTGTGATATGAAATGTTCAAAAGAAAGTTAATAACTTTTTTTGTGTAATTTAAAATTTCTCATTTCCTGTACAAGTTCTCTGAGAGTACCCAAGACTCAAAATATCAACATGAAAGACCCATCTCAACACCAATATCTTATCATACTCCATAGTTTTTAAAAAGTTGCCAACCAGTTCTCATCTTAGCAAGAACCTAGATAATTCACTTACAGAACATCTCATAGTTCACTGGCTTGGTTTTGCTAGAAATGGGTCACAAATGTATAACATGACAAAGAATTCAAAGAAAATAATTAATTATGGTATCAAACAGCACTTGAATCAAAAGAGAACAGTTAACAAGGCTTAACTGCAAAAATACTTTAACGTATGTTAAAGTTAATAAATTAACATATGAAATGCCTAGACAGGGCAGAAATAAAATGTCACCCCTGGTCAGGGGCTATTATAGAAGGAGACTAACATTCATTCATTTATCCCTGATTATTAGAGAAGAATATGATTTCTGCCCAGAAAGGACCTCAGAATGTTTATCCACTGGCCCATAAGGACACTGTCTGCAGTTTATTTTAACTGGAATATTTGAAGAGCCAAAATATTCCATTTGCCAAGTTATAGAAATCAATAAATCTTACTGTATAAACTGGTTCTTGGCATTCTCAGCCATTATTCCTACTTTTTATCATCTGGCCTGCATAAAGCTATTAAAGTAATTCTTTTCAGATTGGGCATTTTTCTGGGGAAAGTATTTGTAATAGCTTCCTTTTAACTTATGAATTTATTCAAATTAAATATCTGCAGGCAGGATCATCTCTGGAATATGAAATACTCGAAGAGTTTATATTCTATAAAGTCAGAGATCTGACTTCAGCGGTGAATCTACCACTTCTCAGCTGGGTGGCCTTGAGTAAATCATGTTTTCTGAGCTGCAAGTTTTTTATTTGTAAGATAGAGATGATGAGGGATCCCTGGGTGGCGCAGCGGTTTAGCGCCTGCCTTTGGCCCAGGGCGCGATCCTGAAAACCCGGGATCGAATCCCACATCGGGCTCCCGGTGCATGGAGCCTGCTTCTCCCTCTGCCTATGTCTCTGCCTCTCTCTCTCTCTCTGTGTGTGACTATCATAAATAAATAAAAAAAATTTAAAAAAATATTATTAAAGATAGAGATGATGACAATACTCACCTCATAAGATTTTGGTGCAAATTTAATGACATTATACATGCAATGAGACAAAGACATGTAGGCACCCCATAAATGCTCTTTTCAAAGAAAGTACAGATGAATAATTTTACATCTTTAAATGAGGAAAGTCTTTCCATGCATGGTGAAAAACAAGAAACCATAAATTAAAATATTAATATGTTTACATAAAACAAAGTTTTTTGAGTAACAAAAATATTTCAGTCAAGAATAAAAGACACTTCAAGAAAAATATTTGCAACATATGTACCAGGAAAAGGGTAAATATGCACAGTGCATCACATTCTTATAAATCAGTATGAAACAGGAAAAAACAGGCAAAGGATATGAATACATAATTCAAAAAAATGGAGCCAATACCTATATGAACAGATGTTCAGCCTCACTAGGAATCAAAGACATATAAATAAAGCAACAGATTGGCTATGATGAAAAAGATGGGTAAAACCCAACATTTGCAGGTGTGGAAGCTGGTAAGTATATTGATTGACCAGATCTTTTTAAAGAGCTCTTTAGTGATATGATCAAAATTTTAAATATGTATTCCCTTCTCTTGGTTATATGATTTTTTTCTGGATATTTTATATGGGTATTATTTCCACAGTTGGACAAAAAAAAATAAAGCTACTTTCATTTTGTAAAATTAAAATAGTTTTTCCCTTATTCTCAGGGTTGTTATGAGAATAGAATTACATTCTCTCCCAAATAAGATCACAGACAGCCTTACAGGGAATGATCATAGCCAAAATGATTACTAATATCCATGTGGTACCTCATAAATGGCAAAAGTACTGCCACTTACCTCAATTCTCATAACTGCTATTCATAAACAGAGCTGGAACTCTCATTGCTCCACTAGGAATGAGCATGAGTCTAGAGGCTCTTTTTATCCACAGGTGGCATCAGGCATTGCCCCATGGACTGGAAAAATGGGAAGGGGGCCAAAATTCAGGAACCTGGACCATCTTCTCCACTGGCCATCCCCTAGGGGCACTCAACTATCAGTAAGTTAATACCTATATAGCACCTTTAGGCTCTTTTGCCTATGGTTCTTTTGCCTACTGCAATATATTGCATAAAAGGGACTGCTTGCCATCTGTTGAATTTTAAAAAGAACTGCTCCTCATTGCAACTTTATGAAATCAGTCTTGTTCTTTAAGATCCTTATCAGATCTGTCCATGGGATGTGAGAATTGCCCCTTCCTGCCAGTAAGAGCTTAAATTTACACTCCTATCTATGACCCCATCAGAAATCATGATGACCAAAATTAGGATTGGGCAAACTGCTCTGCAGTTATATCCCAGATCCCAGTCTTCACCTCATCCACCCACACCATTATACTTGTCA